GAAGATAAATGTTAGGGTTTTATTTTTATTAAATAATTGGTAAAGTAAATGCTTAGGTGAAGTTTAAATTATTCAAAAATTGCAAGATGATAAATCTTTGGGATTTGAGGAAGAGACGAATCAAAACATTCAAAGAAGTATAATGTAAAGATTTATAACTTCTATGAGCCAATTATATAAATTAATTTAATTAAATGTGGCGTTAATTTCACATCAACAAATTTATAAATTAATTTTAGTGATTTTAATTTGCCAAACAGTTAAATTAAAAGACGAGAAATCGAAATTTGTTTGTAATAAAGGATATAAGGTGAACGGATAAGTATTTCAAAAGTTTCTTAAATGTTCAAGTGAGTAATTGCTTTACTATTTGTATTAAATTTAAGTTTTATTTAAAAAAACACTTGCATTATTATCTTATAAACACCTGTTTTTCTTATTATATGCATAATGAAAGTTAAAGAATCTTTGAAATGTAATTAAATGAAACATGCAAGGATAAATGGTTATTCAATAACTTTATATGGATAAGGAAAAAGAAATGAAATGCAAAGGATTAAGTCAATTACGATTTACCCCCATATGATATTGATACGGGATGTGATGTACCCGTGCACAAAAAGTTACTATTTTCATTTTCTTTTTGTGCACGGGTACATCACATCCCGTATCAATATCATATGGGGGTAAATCGTAATTGACTTAATCCTTTGCATTTCATTTCTTTTTCCTTATCCATATAAAGTTATTGAATAACCATTTATCCTTGCATGTTTCATTTAATTAAAGGTATACCTTTAGATGCAAAAATTTTAGGGTACCTATGGGTACTACTTTTTGAGGATATCTTCCGGTATGGCATTAACCTGATATGACTTATAAAAAGAAAAACAAAAGTTAAAAATCTAAATGCTTAAATTGAAATGGAAAGGATTAATTAAAATAAAAGCTTACTGTGAAACTAACTAATGAATTACATCTCATTTAGTCATTCACCCATAGCATTTACATATTAATTTAACGCATAATAAGATTAAAAGTGCTTACTAAATGCTTAAATTGAAATAAAGTGATTAATTTAAAATAAAAGCTTACTGTGAAACTAACTAATGAATTACATCTCATTTAGTCATTCACCCATAGCATTTACATATTAATTTAATGCATAATAAGATTAAAAGTGCTTACTAAATGCTTAAATTGAAATAAAGTGATTAATTTAAAATAAAAGCTTACTGTGAAACTAACTAATGAATTACATTTCATTTAGTCATTCACCCATAGCATTTGCATATTAATTTAATGCATAAAAAGATTAGAAGTGCTTACTAAGCCATGTAAACTTATCGTTTATAATAACGGTTACTTTCAAGTAAAACACTAGGTTAATATGACTGATAGGAGGGATTTCAATTACACGAGGAGAACTACTGAAACTAGGTAGCATATTGTTTATTTAACTTCTAGTTCTTATGTTGTTAGACTATTATTGATTGGATTGCGATACTGTTTTACTCTCAAACTATGTTGAAGCATTAGAAAAATTAGATTTTCTCTTTAGTGACTTGTGAATTTTAGTGTTACTTTTTTATTATTGGATGTTATGATGAATTATTATATTAATTAAAAGAAATGTTAATGTCCAACCATAGTTCCTGACTTAGGCTCCGTTTGGGGCCGCTTTTTTGCGGCTTCGCGGCACCCAATCGCGAAAATCAACTGTTTGGCTCCCAGCGTCGCGGCTGAAGGAAGTTGAAGCTGAAGAAAAGCGGGCCGCGATATCCATCCCGCTGTCCCAACTTTCGTCTCGTCAAAAAATTCTTTTACCCTCGGCGCAAAGAATCCTCCTCCGCCTATTCCCGCACGCGTTCGTCTTCCCTCCCGCGCGCGTTCTTTTTCCCTCCCGCATGCCAAACCCTCCCGCGCGCGTTCTTCTTCCTTCTCGACACCAGAACCGAAGCCTCCGCGAGCGTTCTTCTTCCTCGACACAAGGATCGCGCACGTTCTTCTTCCTCAGTGCGAGCGTTCCTCTTCCAAGACACCAGGACCGAACCCTTCCGATCTTCTTCTTCCGTTCTTCTTCCTCCTAGACACCAGGACCAAATCCTGTCGGCAAGCATAAAATTCAAAGGTATTTCCTCAGGTCAGTCTTTCACAGAAGAAGAGATCGAGGCTTCCATTGCCTTCACTGTTGATGGGGAAGGTGCAAGCGGGGAA